CTCATTAAATAAGGACGATTATCCATTAAAAATGGATAAGAAGGTTAAATCAGTATTTTTCTCTTTGTTTCTAACTCTCCTTTTCAGATTGTGCGTGCGTTTGTGTTTTATTTATCACTGTGTAAGCAAAACAAGAATGTTTCCAACATGTTTTTCTTACCCTAAATGACATTCGTTATTCATGTTGTCATCATCACTGTTCATATGAGGACACAGTTTATGAAATGTAAGAGTAGATCCAATTCTGAAGTAGATATTTGTCACTAGCAAAATAAACTCGTTACTTCCAACTGTACAAATGAACGGAAAGATATAAAAACATTTAATCTTCTGTTTATGACCGTTTCATCCTACTCATGGTAAAAACCCTTGCGGAAAACTATATATATATATATATATATATATATATATATATATATATATATATATATATATACTTTCAGCTCAGAATATGTTTTCACATTAAAGTGTCATATGAGCTATGGTTTAACTTAACTCTTATGCAAGTCCTTCCTGCGGTGATGGTTATTTCCAGTATATTACTGAGAATTTCGCCATCTAATATTCAACTACAGACAATACGCAATACTGAACGTGTTTTTATGTGCATATGTCTGCAAACTGTATTCACGCAACTTAAATAGTGATGCATTAAATTGTTTTACAGCGTAAATTTACCTAACTGGTAGGGATTTGTTTTGCTTCAATTTAGATTTTGGTTGGACTTCAGTTAGAGAACCATTGAAAACCAGGGATTGCTGCACAGCTGTTTCTTCCTAGTTCAGGACTTCATCGGTACGCATCCATGACCTCAAAAGAGACTGAACCCAGGCTGTTTAGGCTACGAAGCGAGGTTGCTGACCATTCAGCCACTAAGATGGAATCCCAAGGCCTATGAGTTTTAACTTCTTTTAATTCGTGGTTTTACCTAATCTTATTAGTTATCAAGTAAGAAATTGTTTTTAGTGGTACCTAAAACTACGTGATACAATAGTAATAAACATAAATTACTAATCTTTAAATATATAATATTATTATTGTTTCCTTTAGTTCCTAGAGGAATATATGGCATGTCTCCATTGAGTTCAGTTCTCCTCCAACATTTTCACCTGGCTCCACGTCTCACCACATGATTTCATCTCCTCTTCACATGATCTCTTCCATGTCACCCTCGAACTGACGGCCAACTCGCCGCTTCCCTTTCGGGTTCCACTCGAGAGGTGGCCAACCGTTTGATGTCACTTGACGGTTTGTTTTCTCAGAGTATGGCCAATCCAATCCACCACCATTTCTTCCTTCATATTCGTTGCATAATTGGCTCCTCGTTGGTTCGCCCATTGCCAGAGACCTCTATTGCTGATGTTTCCTGGCCGGCCATCTCATTTTGAGTAGTATTGAGCTGAGGTAACCGCTGATGTAGGTCTGTAGTTTGTTTTAAGTGCCCCTTGTGACGCGCTAAAACTCTGATCCGTATTTTAAGTAGCACTGACTTCACATCGGAGTTGAAAATCCGGACCTTATTTTGATTTTATCATTATGAGTGCTGTTGACCTCTACACCGACTTGAGAGTAATGAAAGCTTGCCTTGCTTTTCCGATCCTCGCTTTGATATCCTCATCAGTTCCGTCGGCCTGTATTTGAAACGATGCCTCCTAAGTAAGTAGGTCGGTAGGTGGATAGGTAAGGGAGTTACTTCTTTCAGATTTCTCCCATTTATGCCGATTGTTATTTGTTGTTATTGCTGTTGATGTTGTCCGGGAATCTTCATCACCTCTGTTTTCTGAATGTTCACCTGATGTCCTATCTTTGGTGCTTCCTCTGCCAAATTTACTCTTAATTTACTACATGTAATTCAAGACAAGTATATTTCGGAGTGAAATGTAATACATGCGACAGTAAAATAATTTTAATATGAGTAACTATGATTTCAAGAATAAAATATGCCTTTTCTGGGTGCTTTTGCTGTGATTATTGGAACGCTCTTGACGGTGTATTATGCAAAAACTAAGGAATCTTATTAGACTTATTACTTATGAACACTTGCAGCTGTAGGAATGAGCGAGGCAGACTGAAATATACATAATTATAATAGATGTTTATGAGACTGAATATTAATTTTCATCCTAAGATCTTTATAATATAAATGGTTATGACATTTGTCTTTATAATTCTTTTAAATTTGTGACTAAGCAGGTATTCGACTATTGGTTGCTTGTAAACTCGAAAACTCTTACCAAATAACTTATTGCTTATTACGAATTTCTAGTACTAATAAACATAAAGTATTTCCGCTATTATCCTTCTTGCATCTTAGCCATCCTCAATATAGTAATGTAGATTTATCCAGGTATTATGCTGATTTGTCTATACAAGGTTTTGTTTCATTAGTCTACTGAATGTCTTTAATACCACTGGAGGAATTTCATCTATAGCCTGAAGCTTTACACCTACTCTAGTTTTTATCTTCTCGGGAAGTGTTCAATACATTTACTGATAGTCATTAGAGCAAGCTGAAATCAGCTTCATTTTTTTGCTATTTTCTAATGAACAGTAGAGTACAGCCAGTTATATTTCAGGATGTTATCATGAGCTGACATAGGTTAGAAATCTATTGAAAAACCTAGGAGTACTGACCATCTGTTTCGTCCTGGTTTGGGAATCTTCATCAGCGTGCATCCGTCAGGGTTCGAACACAGGGCCTTTTGGCTTGCAGAGAGAACTCGTAGACCACTAAATCACTGGGACCCTATCCACTGATTCATTAATTCCAACTTCTCTCGATGCACGATACAGTACGACCACTAACCAATGTAACCGGCGAGTAAACGGCCTCACGTCCGACCCACCTTATGCCACTAGTCACAAATTCTCACTAAAATCCAGGTAACTGCATACCTGAATAGGGTCAGTCGCTAGCAAAATGATCCTCTTGCTGATTTCAACTCATGATGAACCCCTGCAAACCAACACTTGAACATCTATATTTCACTTTGTATTTTCTTAATGCGACAAAATAAATCGGATGCACCGTATCTAATAAGTTTATCCAACATGTTACACAACGATGAAATAGTACAGGGTGAATGAACTTTAAAGTACATTTTATTGCTCATAATCTCATGATAGCTTGAAACTGTACCACGCTGTCTACTTTCTATTCTTACACTTATAAATACACTGTACCATTTTCATTTTCTAATGTCGTATAATATCAGGAAAATAGTGCTTTTGTTATCTTCTCTTGGTGAATAATAATGGCGTGATTTACTTTAGTGACTGGTAGGGACTGATAACAACTGAGCATCGAAGGAAGCAGGTAACGTATCATTTCGAAAATTGGTAATAATTGTAAAACATGGATAATAGGATTCCAAACATTGATTGTACCTGATTCTCACTAATCCTAACTGTAGACGGAATAAACTAGACATCAATCCGTGAACAGACATTTCTGTTTGTAGGTTGTCTGCTAGATATGTTATCTCTCTCCACGCGCTAGGACTTTGTTAAAAAAGAGAGAAAATGTTAGTATCTTCGATGGTTTCTGTGATTTTATTTATTTATTTCCATACAACAAGCCTGAAGCAACACATATTGTGGGATGGCTGATGAAACCAACCAGATTTTTTTTGATTACAACTTGATTCCACACTGTGTTTTTGGTGCAAGTATGGAATTTTCAGCATTGATATCGGTAGCCCAAATTTTGCAGGCCGACCATAAATATCAGGTGTGCGTCGACAGGGGCTCGAACCCCGGACCAGGTGCATGGCCGGCGAGAGTCCTAACCACTGTGCCAACGATGCACATATGCCAACGTACATACAGCTGGAATCGACCCGTGATCCCGGTGTCTGAAAATCAGGTTGAGTTAAATTTCGATACTTTCTATCTCCAAGTCAGAATTCATGTCAAAAGACATCTCAGACGTTTTAGCAACTATCTGTTTGGATGAGTTGTTAAATGACAGAAATTTCTACGAGAATATGTTTCTTGAGAGTATCAACAAATGTCAATCCTAAAGCCAAAATATTTTGCCAACAAAATCCATATTATTATGACCGAATACAGTTTATTAAAATACTATAATATAGCGACAAATGGCAGGTTAGTTTCTTAGTCAGAACAATAATGTTGAAAGACAAGGGATGTTAACTAACGAATTCAAAATAAGAAGAAGCACATATTCTTGATTTTACCGTTAAACGTCATTTGGTGACTGAATCGTTTGAATTAACATTTAAAAGGTGCAACAACAAATAGATTTGTTTATAATGTTTATATTAACACAGCAATAATACGATTATTATATTCATGACACATGTTCTGGCATTATTCTCCTTCCTCCAGTCATTCTTATGAAAGCCAAAATCTGAAGAGTGGTTGAAGGAACAGAAGGTTGGCAGATCAAGCTGCAAATACCCGCCATTATCTGACCAGTCGTATTTATCAAAAAATAATTGCTAATGTACTTTCTGTGATCATCAGTTGAATGCTTGCACTTTATATTTACTCAGATCACACATCTAGCAAGTATCAGGGTTCATAGAATAGGCCACTAATCTTATGGTCTAATTCTCAGTGAGGTACTGTTTTGATTTTAGTTACTGTTAGTGAAGGCTAACTGAGGTTGTTCTGAGTAACCAAGCCTTATTGTTCATCAATTAAACAGATCCTAAATCAATGTTTAGGGGATATCTATAGGTAAAATTTTAGGAAGCGAAACTGAAAACATTCATAATGTTTTTCATTTCAACTTAGTAAGTATTTATGTGATGTCTTTGAGTCACTTTACGATGAATTGGAAAAATGAAATGATAAGAAAGCAGGCATTTAGAAATACAAGAAGTAGATATCTTCTTCGTCCTATTTTAACCGTCCTAAAAAGTTTTGATCCATGGGGTGTAAAATCTAAAAATATTCAGTTTTCATTCACAGCATGCTCTTATATAACCATCAGGACACAGCGGAAATTACTCCATAAAATATGCTTTACTTACCTGTACAGAGAATATTTTCCATTTGGAGTGAAGGAGCTGGCGCTAACGGCTGTCTTGACGTTTGTCCTAGTAGGGCTTCTAAACACTGATAGTTTGCATAGTCATCACCAGAAACTGATAAATCCTGAAACTTATTCAGTTGTGTAATAAGCTGTTGTCTTGCCTGTTGCACTTTACTGTTTTGTTCAGAAAGTGGAATGCCTTCGGGAACTGAAACCATGGATTGCTGAGGAGCTAAAATAGGCTGAGACACTTTGGTTTCGTTGGCATTTGTATCAGGTGTACAGTACCTACGTAGAGATTGCATTGTAGGTGTCACCAGTGATGCAGGATTTATTATCCGCATTGCTGATGATTCATCACCCGATGAATATGAAGAACGTAGTTGTGGTGCTTGTTTATGACTGCTAGTAGCACTACCACTACTAAGCAGTAAAGGGACCTGCCTTTGGATATTTGAAGGGATATTACTTGAAGATTTTGCTGAGCACTGCATAGCAGCCATAGCAGCAGCAGCAGCGGCAGCAGCAGCCGCTGCTGCAGTCGCTTGTTGTTGCTGCTGTCTGATCTGCTGCTGTTGTGCTTGAAAGTGGATTTCTTTCGCATTATTAATGGCAAGTTCAGAATCAGACCAACGATTTGGTGCAATGAATTTTTGTTGATTCATTGATGAGTCCATAGTCATGGATGGAATATTAGACATGAAAGATGGTTGGGATTCCACGCGTGACTTATTCACAGAGGCTGCTGCTAACAAAGCTGAAATTAGTTGTTGGTAATTCGCTTGCTGCTGGTTTTGAATCTGTTGTGTTTGCTGTTGTTGTTGGCTTATTTGACCTGTTTGCTGCTGAAAATAAGGATTCACAAGACTATGAGGTAAGTTTCTGGATTTACTATCGGTTAGTTGGTCCAGATTAGAGATTAAACCCTCCGTGAAAGTATCACGTAGGTGACTTTGTTGCTGATTTTGTTGTTGTTGCTGTTGTTGACGTTGCCAATTGGACAACAACTGCCCGGCACGAATATTACATGCCCCAAGCCCTTGCTGCACTGTTGCACGATTAGTTGGCATATACACATAGTCACGTGCTGAGCGCAACTGAGATAACATTTTGCTTTGATCACATACGCCACCTGTTAAATCTGCACTGTATCCTGAAACTGCTCTACTTGGTCCAGGTAAATTCGTCTTATTTATGCCTTCTTCTGGAACAAAATGTACTCGAGGATTTACATTTTTATTTTCATTCAAATTGTATCTATTAGACTGTTTATCACAGGTATAGTAATCTTGATAAACAGATTTGTTAGGATTATCGGTCATGTTTCTATTCGATTCTCCAATGAAGTTAGTGTAATCACAAAAATTGGTATACTTTAAATTATCAAAATGAAAACTCCACTTGGGCGTCGAGTTCAAATTTCTAACAGATCCAGATAAACTTGATACTAGTGAAAGTGTTGACTCGGAACTTGTTTCAAATGCTGAGTCAATTGAACTGAAATTTGGTTTTTTGAGCTTTTTCAAGATCTGATGCTTATCAAAATATTTATTCTTGCTGTAATTGTTTCTTTTTTTAAGAGGAGAAAAATGAGGGCAGTCTGGCTTAGAATTATCATATGGATAATTTCCAAAGCCGACTACATGTTTTCTTGGTGCAGTGCATTCTTGATATAACTGAAAATGAGAATTTGAAGGGGAAACAATAGTGTTCGCAAATTTTATTAATTGTGATTCCTCTTTATTATTGTTATGTGCTAACAGTTGTGAATCGATGTTTGAATGACCCTGATTGTGATCAGTATTTATGGTATACAGTTCACTAGAAATTCCACTGTCTACAGATTCTTCAGCCATCTGATGCTCCAAATGGAGCTTAGTGTTTTTGACTAACTTACCTTTGGTATACTTTGTTATTTGAGCAAGAGAGAGAATATCAATGTAAATATTGATTCTGACAGTTCTGTAATAATAACAATTGCTGTCTGTAATACTATTACGCAGCTGAAGCTGATGAATAATTTTGGAAATGCACTTAAAAATTAGTAATTTGAAAGGTATTGTCGTATTATCAAGGGATTTGCAATTGTTGTATACTAAATCTTTAACGTGGCTTCTGTTTGGCGGTTGCTTATTAGATTTCAGTGTTTTGCTGTTGAAACAACAAAGTTGCTGGTAATATGTATATGTGTTCAAAACCTGGTAATCGGTGCTATGAATAAAATGTCCGTATCGGTGACAAAAATCAACGTAGAAATAATAAAGTGAAAAGATGGAAGGAGATAGAGACACAATACAGTAACAACAACGACACTGAATATACACCAGTTTATGCATCCTACTAAATGAGTGAAGTTCTTTCGGTTGATTAAAAGTTTTTTCGGTCCATGTTTAATCCATTCACCAGTGTTAATACAGGGAAAGACTATACTGTGCAAACCTGACCAACATTTAGCCATTAAATTTCAGGTGATCTTTAAAAAAAGATTGTTTTATCGTTTGCTTGGTTATTTATATTACTGTTGTCATGGTTATCTGTGATAAGTAGGAAGATTCATTCATATCTGTAGATGTGATGATGTAAAGAATGTAGTTCAATACTTCTAAATCTGTAGGATTTGTAATTAACCAAGGATATTTGAGAAAATGAATTTTGTAATTCCTCCGATTTTAGAATCAAACTACTCAACATCTATACAAGCGATTTGGGGAACTGTGCCATTTAGCATAGATGAAACCCGATTCATAAAAGGACGTGAAGGGCTACACGATTTAAATAAATATCTGTAATTGCAGTGCGAATGAAGTCATCCTCTATTTCAAAGTTGTGACACTTAATTTTCATAGACAGGCAATGCACGTGTTATTAAATCATTCCATCATTTTTTCTGCATGCTGTTCTTTATTGTCCAAGTATATACAACGAGCATAGTCGTAGTAGTTAATGCGATTCGTATCAGTTGTAGGTGAATAATAACAATAATAGTAGTTGTAGTAGTAATTGCATTAGTATTTATCAGTGGGCATTCGTAAAGAATTTATAACAAATCGATTTATTCTGTTATGGAGTTGATAACCAATCAAATCGAAGGATAGAGGAAGATATATTGAGTAAGTGGGTGGCTAGGAGTATTTGCTGCCTATATACACACGTGAAACATTGAACAATAAGACTCAAACACGTCTGTTTGTGAATTGCCTGCATATGTTTGTATGTATGTGCATGCATATATATATATATATATATATATATATATATATTGATATTTAGAGTGGAAATTTTTCCTTTAAAAAATTTTGGCAGTTATGCTCAAAAACAACACTAAAATACGACCATATACATGTATGTGTTTTGAGGAATATTCTCGCGTATTCTAGATAGACAGACATATACTGCATCCAATGGAATCACTGTATACGTTCTTAATGGCAAAAGAGGCAATAAATTTTGTTAAGAATGTTTTGAATTATTTGCCAATTTTGCTTGGCTCTGAACTTTAAAAAACAGTATCAGCAACAGTAACAAGGAAAACAAACAGACTAAGAAACTAGACTAAACTAGTTTTGTTTGAAAGCAGCACATATTGTCTCTCTTATGCTGGTGCACACACACACACACACTCACACACACCACAGACTCATAAAAATCAACTATCGGATGATTAAATGCTTACAACACACACGCACTATGCTTACAGTAAACATGTGGAACATGCAAAGGATAAGCTCATGTGCTCATAAACTAATGAGAATTATACAATGTGCAAGAAACATTTTTAGTGGTTGAATGGAATCAGCTTATATATATATACCACACAACGCACTAGCTGAAGAAAAACAAGGAGCCTTGCATTTGAACATTTTCTCCAAAAGAGGTGATTCAGGATAAAAAAAAGAATTGTTTTCTTTTCTTTACCAGGAAAATATAAAAGGGAAGAAATGAAAATACCCCTGGGAGTAGGCAGATGAATGCAAAAATCCTAATATTTATATAAACAAATTAAAAACAGAAAAGATGGCTTTAGAACATTCATTAAAAAACAAAAAACTAACTGAAAGGAGGTATAAGCAACAATGGTAATAGTAGTAGAAGTAATAATAAGTTTATTACGCAAATAAATCATCTGTTCGAAGTAGATTCACGTTACATGATACTAATAAAAATGATAGTTGCTTAGTTAAAATCAGAAAATACTGATATACATTACTGTGGCTTTGAACTTATTTATTTCACCATGGCAAAGAAATATAGTGAAAATCATATTTGTCACTTCCAAATTAGAGAGTCCAAGGGAAAATTTGCCATGAAACCACAATACGAGGTCTGCTTCACTGCTTGAATGGAAATCAAGACAACCAGTAAAATAGCTTTATGATTCGAACTGGTGACTGATATTGGCGGTTAGAATTAAGGTTGAAGTGATCTGGCATTTTAGCATGCTTGTGATTGCATTCATCATCAGTGTGTCCTTTTACATTTATCTCAGTTAGCTAAATCTGTCGATCCAATTTTGTAGAAACAAAAGGTTAGTAATATTCAGACTATAAATATGATGTTCTGTAGATGAAAGTAAGTCAGTCTGTATGTATTTGAGTCTTTTTTAAATTAGCTAACTGAACCACGCATACTATGGAGATGTGGGTTATTGGTTTAGGCATTGAACTTACAGCCAAATGGTCTTGGGTTTGAGTCCTGTAACACCTAATTCATCCTCGGCAACCAGATGGCTAATCAACTCTCATACAATTTGTGTTGCACATAACCTGGTATATGGGAAAGAAGTTTCGGGTAACAGAATTCAAACGAACAGGCTAACTGAGACCTATACCACACATGTTCAGCCAATCATTTTCTCAAAAGGTAACACTGGTTGAAGCAGAACTTGATGAAATGAATATTAAGGAGAGATGCTTGAACCATAATCCATAAAGTGTTCGACAGTTCTTCTGAGCGACCTAGTAAAACAAAGTTTCTCTGATTAGGGACTTCGAAATAACAAAAATAGGGAAAAGCCAAAACGATCGGTTACATGCTTTTATCTACACTTATACTAGAGTACTTGTAGTTATTCTGTACGATCTTCGTCACCATGATCAATTTCAGCAGTTAATTTATCACTCATTATTATTATTGGATTAATTTAACTTAATTTCATTTGGCTTTAACAATACTTGTGCGTTCTTCCAAATAACACCCAATAGAAATGTCACATTTCTATGGAAGGAAAGATTTTGATTACTATTTTGTTATTTGCTGAGATGTCATATTATCATTCGTAGTGCAAACAAAAGTCGATAAGTTGAATAGTAGATCACAATGGCATGACATTCGTTTTGTATTCTTTAAGTAGTGAATTCAGACAACATAGCGTGTGATAACTTCGTTGCTTGTTATACCGCAACTGGCAGCTTCTGAAAATTTTTTACAGATGCTAATTAGGTGCGTTTTACTGAGGGAGATAATTATCGTGTTTCTCTTCTGAAAGTAACTCTCTTCATCAGACAGTACGCTGGTATTCATTTTTCGACATAATTCCCCTTATTAAACCGCATCTTAGATTTGTTTTGACTTCAACGTTTGCCTGATAATTATCATATGCATAGTAAGAATTACATAAGAATTTAATTAGACTCTATGAAGCTGACAAATGTTAAGGTTTGTTTTAATTTTTCACTGGGTGATTCCAAGTCTTCAGGTGTACATGAAAGAATCTCCAACAAAACATTTAATAACGTCGACATATTCATGGTAAATAATCTATGTGATCCAAGTCATTTGCTGAGGGGAACTTCGTCATGTACTGAATAAGTTACTTCTGCCTGCCATCAGACCAGCGTAAATGGAAATAACAGATACAATCAGACCATATTGTCTGCATATATTTACTAGCAAAACATGATATTATCATTAATTATTCACTAAGGTATCAAGGATGACAAAGTGATCCTAAGGTGTGTATGCATAAATGAGTGAAAATAAGTAAATATGACAAATGTAGTGCGAATGAACAATTCCTTTTTTTTGTATTTACGCACTTTTAAAAGTCTCTTAGTTATAATTGATGTGCTTGATCAATTTATTAAGATATACGTCCTGTCAGTAAAACCGTTAAGGCTATTTCATCAATTGTGTAGAAAATTATTACTATGCGAAATACTGGAAATCCCCTTTCTACATAGGGGGCGGAGGAGTAGAAATCTTTGAAACTTTTTGTGGCTTAAAGTGACTTGTAACACTAGTGTTTCGGCGCTTATGCAATATGTTTACATAATCTTGTGCTTCTACTTGCTCGATTAGGTAAGTAAGTCGATATTGCAGAATTAATTTGTGACTTCTTTGACACCACTGGAAATCTATCAAGTTGACTTGGGTGACTTGCTTGCTATTTAGTGTAAATGCTGACAGTTTGGAGACACTTATAGAGCGCGTTTACTATGTACATCAGCACTTCTCGTTGTGGGTGAATATTGCCTACAAAAAGTATTTTAGTAAAACACAGCATGACTTGTTAATAATACTGAAGCGTAAAAACACTTCTTGTACTTGTCCCAAAAGTATTATCTATTTATTATTCAGCAACTGATCTCCATTTCATCCTGCTTTTCGTAGTTACTTTTATCTGGTTCCACGAATATCCGTGAACTTTCATTTCCTCACACGATCTCCTCCATATCAGCTTCGGATACTCAAGTCGTCAATTCATATTCAGGTTCCACTCGAGAGACTGGGGACGATGTCACTCAAGGGTTTCCTCAGTGTGTGTCCGATTTGTCTCACTTTACTTCAGCACAGTTGTTGAGCAATAAATTGTTGGCTTGTTCGTTGCCCATCAGAGTCCCTTGTCGCCAATCCATTTCAGCTGTCTGATCCTTATTATGAAGCTAATAAAGGCAGCTGCTGATAGAAGTTTGAAGTCTTTTTGAAATGCTTTTGGTGATATGCAAGGTCTCTGAATCATACAAAAGCGCTAACTTAATATTGATGTTGAATCGGTATTTTTAGTGTATTAGATTCGTTAATTTTTACTTCATTATCAGATTTGAGCACTGTAAGTGACATACATCACATTCGTTTTCTTTTAGCAATGCCTAAAGGGACTGAGTTAAGAAGCAAGAGAATAGTTTGAATGTATTGATTTTTAGTGTTTCAGATTCACATAGCAAGCTGTTATAGGGTAGGGGAAATAAATATCAGATATTTCACATTTTAGGTTCTCTGCCATGTTTATTGTCGGAAGTCGCATACATTACTGTATTTATCGAATCTCTCTTGAGCAGTCGTTATCATTAGTAATACTTTTTTCATGTTTCAGCCAGTTGCTTTTCATGGGGAAAGA